ATATATATATATATATTTATATTATCTTCATACTTATATATATATATACATATATATATATATGTATATATTATATCCATACTTAAATTCATATTTGCACAAATAGTGAATGTGTACTTCTTTTTCATACTTGGAAATGCTCACCCGTTACACTTTGCTGCAATGGTTTGTATGAGTGTTTCCGGTCCAAACTGGGATGCTTGTATACGAGTGCTTTGTGTGCTCTGCAACTACGGAATTCAGTGTTAAGCGTGTTCAGTTAGGTGGATTGTATACAGGTGTATCCTACTGCTTCCCTTGAAACTTATTCGGTGCACTAGCCCAGATATGTAAGTATCTTGTATCACATCTGATAGGTTCCTTTGTACGCGATGGTTGTAGATTTTTTGGGGGCCCAATCATAAGTTGTATCTAGTTAAAATGTCTATCGCACGTAACATCAGTCATGCTGCACTTAAAATGCAACATGCTGTGGCCATTTGTCAGGCGATTATGTATACTCGCGAGATTGTTGTTTACCAACTTCTGATGGAACGATGGTGATAGCATGACTTCTGAGCGTGCCTGGTGAGTTGCAGTCTCTAGATTCCTCTTATCCGAGGTAGCCAGCGTGCGTGAATTGTAACGCAGTTTTTAAAGCACACTATGCTGACTGGCATACACGCTATTTGTTTCGGTTAGGAAAGTACTCATAATTCTGCGGATTTTCTTATCTAAAAATTTAATCACTCACGCCATTTCATGCATTTACTGCTATCTGCCATTATGTTCTGCGCAAAATTTCGAATGTTATTTGCCTTGACTGGAGCTGCGTGAAACCTAGACCTCCACTCAAAAGGATGCGTGAAACATATTCTGCCACAGACCGTTGTCATCACACTTGGGCACTCTCTCTCCTTACCACTCCCTGCTTGTATATCACCTCTGCAGCTGAGCTACCACTGCCACCGAGCTGTGGATCAACTACCTGCGTACATTAAGGTGGACGGTGTGTACCCAAATATGCCACCAGCCGTACCTGGGGTACCGGTCCAACAACCGCCCCAATTGGGTGCAGATTGCGAGGAAGCGGACGTGGTGTTTGCCCGAGAGATTGTGAATACCATGCGAGAGATAGATACGATTGTGGACACGTTGCCGAGTCTGGAGGATAATTATGACCAGCAAATGCGCGATTTGGAAAGGCTGGAGGAAGTCAATGAACAATCTGGGAAGAATCTGTCCGAGGCTATCGACAGAGGAGGTATGATGTGTAGCCAAGAAGTGGTTCATGTTGGTCAATATGCACCTACTTCTGGAAAGCTGAGAGATACCTGCACTAGTTTATCGGCCTTCTTATCCGTTCGATGCGGACTAGCGGAGGTCATAGTCGTACTCTTGCCCAGGGTTTTTTGAGTGGCGGTGCGCTGGTTTCAGAGTCTTTTCCGCATCGTTCGATCATTCTTCCCTTTGACGTAGTTGCGTACTGCAGCAATTGCAGTTGTTAACTACAAATCACAAAGAATCGCTCGTGTACTTCGTTGTATTGATTTATTTGTTGTTTTTTTTGAGAAACTTGAATGTACTTATAATGTGCCAGTTTTTATTCGTTCCTGGCTATGTATCGTCAATTGCCAGTGCCTGTCGTCCGTTTGCTGCGATAGGCACACGTTCTCGATACTAATCTCCAGCCACACCCCTGAACAGAACTCTACTTGTCCTTGATACGTGCTGCTCTGGATGACATCGGCGACATGGCCTTGAAAGCGGAACCTCAGGAGATTGAATCAGAAGAGCCCGAGAACTGAGAAGTCCTCCACAATCGTCGCCTGTGGTGATCGGTGCAGTTCATTGTCTAGTCTGAGATTCCGAGTATACTGCTCTACTTTGAAGGCACCAATAGGTCGGCGTAGTTTGCAATGGGCTTATCGTAGTCTGTCATAGACCTTGGTCATGGCACTCTTGCAAGGCTGTCGGAAGCGGTTGTGGAGGACTCAGGCGTGCGTTCGAGTGAATCAGGCGTATTTCTTACATGTAGGTTATCGAGAGGTAGACACCGCTCTCGACCAAAATGGCTGCGTCGTGAGAATGCAATCGAGTGCAATGCAGCTAGGTGTTTATCCAATGGATGACTATGTTCGTTTGTCCAATGGATGACTGTGTTAGTTTATCCAATGGATGACTGTGTTAGTTTATCCAATGGATGACCGTGGCAGTTTATCCAATGGATGAGACTGTGTTAGACATGCATCGGGTGAGGGGCTGCAAATGCGAGATAACTGTGCATTAGAGTTTCAGACTTAGGCACAACATTGCAGGCTGGACAGACGTCACTCAATTGGGCGAGGGCCATCCGTGATGGGTTGGTAGTGGCTATCATGTAAACCTGATGATGCTCACTAAACTAGATGTGAATTGTCAGCAATCGGGAAGATCAGAGCATGGCTCATAACGCTGACAAGCTGGATAGTTGAAGATCAGCAAGCGACATGGCACTATTGCAGGCCTATGCTAGCCTTCTCGCAAAGGCGTTTATTGTCCAATCGTCTTAAGAAGAACACGGGCTTACTGGCAGCCAATCAGATGCAGATCACGCTTTAGTATAAGGCTTCGCCCTGAGTGTGGCTCAAAGTGGTTCTTGTCTGATACGCTGTTTGACTACAATGCCAGATATATCGTCGTGTGAATGCTGCGTGTGCATCAGGCGCCTCGTCTTTTGTGTGCTGATCCAAGAGCTAGCAGTAGATCAATATCCCAACACACAGTCCCCAAACAATAATCCCCAAGAAAACAGTCCATGGGCTGCAAATGTAATCGTCAAGCATGCAGAACAGTGACCACCGCGCACTTCTCGAGTGAAACAAGAGATAGTGCGTTGCGTCGAAGAGGGTTAGAGGCTTTCTATCACTGGTATGCTCTGGTTGCTATGGTGGAGATTGAGGAGTGATAAGGAGGTTCTATTTGCATGCCAAATAAAAGCACGTGGGCACTGACTGAATATCATCGAGAGCATTTGATTCGTTGAGAACTTCTGATTAAAAAAGATTACAACCAACCTTCCTCAAAATGTCAAGAGCCCTCTTCAGATCAACTGAGGCAATTTATCGTTTTCTGTGTATCTTTGATTCAGATTATCCGATATGTTTGTATCGCAAATCTATAGTACGGTGCAATCCAGTCACGTCAGTAGCACACTACGCCTGCTAAGTACACAAACATGTCCTTTTCGTTCAATTTCAATGATGATGCCGACACGGCCACTACAGAGTCGATGGAGCAGGCACCTGAACTGCAACGCAGGCCAGGTAATCGGACGTACAAACCGATCGGGTGGGGTGGTGGAGCGCATTGTTGTTGATGATGGTTGGCGTGGTATATCATACTTGAGTGTTAATACGGATGATAATAATCGATTTGGATATAACACATAGAATTTTCAATTGTGTTTACAAAGTAGGACATTTGAGAGATAGTACTGCCAGGTCGCTCGTCCCAGGTACATGCGCATGGTAAACTCAATCGTTGTCAGTATTGTCTACGATAGTTGACGGTTGCGATTCAACACTTCTCATTGATGGGTAGGGAAGTAATAGTGTCTCAATTAAGCACAGGGATCTATAATATTATAAGGAATATTCGAAGTTCAAGTTCAGTGCATGCTATACTAATACAGCAGGTTGGCTAGTTATGTACCTGGCTTTGAAGGCTTGGTATCAACAACCATGAGATTCATATCTATACATATAAGCTTGATATGTCTTAACTGAATCGGCCTTGTGAATCAAGGATGCTGTCGAAAAAGATTGACTCTGTTTATACCGAGACTAGGCTATTCATATATATATATATATATATATATATATGCATATACATATATATAATATATATATATATTATATATATATATATACATACACACACACACATATATATATATA